GAGCGCAGAGAGGCATGTGCCGTCACTCAGAGGAGCCTTCCAAACTTTGTCTGAGAGAACAGCTCTGAGCAGTCAGTTGGAACACTCGCAATTTCTGACCGTATCATTTCTGGAACACCTGAGTGCTGGGCAACATCTTGCCACAGTCTGTCCTGTGCAGGACATAGCCCTCTTATTCTCAAACTTCATAGAAACATAGAATGGCCTAAGCTGGAAGGGACCTTAGTGATCATTTGAATCCAGCCTCCCTGCCACCAGGGACGCCGCCTCTCGACTAGATCAGGCAACACATGGGGACCGAACGGGAATCGAACCCGTGACCTTAGCGCTACGCTCAACTGACTGAGCTAACCAGCCCCCTACTTCTGTTGGTACCAGCTGTTCTGGCTCTGCGTAAAGAGGAGGATTTGAGGCCGCAAGGCCTAGGGAGTTGGAGGACCTCAAGAGCATCCACGGAGCAGCTCGGCAAGCCCTGGTGCCTCTGTGCAGCTCTGGCCCCGGGTGCAGCAACATGCCTTGGCTGGGGTGGGGTGGTGACACCGACGTCCTTGCAAGGAGCCTGCCCGCACCCAGCGTGGTCCCCTTTTCTTCAGGAGAAAACGAACTGGAGGATCCACCTGGAGTGAGCCTCCTGGAGGCTTCCTCTGGTGAAAGCACCTCCGTACTGCAACTTCTCCCAGGAAGGAGGTAACAGCTCCTGTGCAAGCACTTCCAGGGTCTGGCCCCGTGGGAGAACTCTGGGATAACCTGGGGTGCTCAGACACAGCAGCTCTGCGTGACGATGGCGCGCGTTACCCACAGACCCGTGCATACCCTGTGTGGCTGTACTTAAGACATTACATGGGAATAGCACTTCAAGAAACCTTGCAGATTCTTTTCCTCTTGCTTTGCCTTTGTTACAAATCCCTTACCTTGCCCTAGTCGCTGTGAGTTTTGTTGCTCCTGCTGCTGCTGATGCCTTCGTGCTAGTTTTTTCATCTGAATAAAAAAGGAAGAACAGAACAATCTCAACGCTCTGAATGCAACAGTTTTGCTTCCTTACAAAACTCTCTGCAAACACTGAATCAATACAGACCATTCATATTCACGCACACATCACTGGGCTCAGTTTCAGTTTTAAGCTTAAACATTTCAGTTTCCAGTTTGTACCTGCATGCAAAATTTACTCCCAATGTCATGTTGCTTTAAGCACAGGAACTTAATGTCTGTGTTCAAAAGTTGCCTTTCTGGTACAGATGCCGACAGCCGAGCATGCAAACTATGCACAGTTCATTCCCTGGGATCTCTGGGCTACATCTCGGGAGAGGGGAAAATCTGTGTTGGAGGACAATTTGCATTTTAGTTTTGAGAACCTGACAAACAACTTACCTTTGCTCTTTGGTTCTGAAACCAGACTTGGACAACTCGCACACTGAGTCCTGTTTCAGCTGCTAGTGTTTCTCTGACCTGCAGGAGGAAATGTTTAATGATGTAATCTTTCTGCTTTTTGAAAAAACTAATCAGTTATGTTAGGAGGAATATGCCTGTACTTACAGTAAAAAATGCATGTACAGAACTACTTTTAAAATTCCTCATATTTTTGCATAGCTTGTTCAAGTTGCTACTAGTTTCATAAGTACTGAATAAATAGTCCCAGCTGTGTAAAACTGCACTATGTCATACAATGATTTTTATTTTACCCATCAAACAGTCCTGTGCAAAAAGATACAATTTTGGTTGTGAAAAACTCTCCCATTGCTGAGGCACGGGGGGCTACCTGGATCTGCAGCTGACCCTTCAGCACTGTGGCCTGGAGCCCTAGCAGACTTCGGGTCCCCGGCGAAGCACCCACCTTCCTGCAGGGCTTGGAAGACACTTCAAAGGATGCTTTGAACGCTCGCCTCTGCTGCGTGGTAAGTATTGTCCTGGGCCGTTTGGGTCTTCTTGGGTCCTTCCCATCGTCACTTCCTTTTCCTTGGGTTACTTGTCCTTTGGTGGGCTTAACATCTCCATCTTCATCATCACTTTTAACTGATGAAAAATAAATAGGATATAAAATTTTACTTGTTCCACCAAGATGACAGGGTGTTGGAGAACTGCTCTTCAGCTACCAAACTGGTCAAAGGTTCGACCATTATCCCATCTTTATCTGAATACCTAAAGCAATTGCAGGCAGGAAGAGAAATACAGTGTAGATTCCAGTTATTCTAAATATTTTGAATATTTATATTAAATATAATCTTTGTCATCTTGTTTCTGTATGCCACAGAGAACACCAGCATTATCTCTCTGTGTTTTACAACGTGTCTGTATGTGCAGACACATATTTCTCTTTCTTGGTAAATACCTACAGGTGTATATGTGCTTGTGTAGGCCAAACATAGTATTTGTATTTTCTACAGTTAAATTCTGAATATTTGTACAAGCTGGTCATATTATGTGTTTTTGTACATTGTACTGGGAAATCTCAATTACAGTGGCAAAGGTTAAAGAGTAAGTATGAATTTTGTTGTGAAAAACAACTTTTCAACTCAGCATATTTTATTTCACCAGGCAGTACTGATTTCTTTTTCCAGAAAACATTAATATACTATTATAGGGACATCAACATGAAGAAACACACTGCAATTTTTATGTACTCAAAGATTATGGGTGGGGAATTAACAAATTAGACTTTAATTCATTTTAGGGGCTAATTATTATGCACCTAGCAATCTAATCACCTTTTACTTTAATAAGCAGCTTTTGCCTAATGATTAAAGAGAAGTTCAGTCATTTTAATAACTGTGACGTTATTAACTTTCCAGCATGCCATTTCTAAGGAAAGGTTTGTGAGGATTAATATTGCTCATTGGAGAGTTACTTTTGTGTCCAGTGGATAAATATTTGATTGGAGAAGGGCACACGCTCAGGCAGGGCCATGTGAAAGCCCTCGCTCCCACACGGCCACCCGGGAGAGCCGTGTTTCCAGTGTGTTAGGCAACGGGAGACAAAACATCCCCTTTAATTTGTCAGCTTGCTTTTCAGGTTTGAGTCTGGCTAACAGAGAACAGCGAGGGGAAGAAAAGCATCTCCAGGAGCAAGAAGCTACCCCTGGTGCCAAGGGGAATCGAAACCAAAGCCGAGGCAGCTCCGAGCCACCGCGGCAGCTGAGGTGGATCACAAAGGAGAAAGAGGGGACCTGAAGGACAGCCCGCCGAGCCAGAGCCCGCCTCCTGCACAGCGTGGCCGGAGGATGCCCGGGCCGGGGCAGCCCCCAGGACTCTGCTGGGGGAGTTGTCTGGGCACAGGACACTGAACCTGCCTGAGGGCAATGGGCAACTGCGGTGCCGCGGGCAAATTCACAAAGAGCCCAAACCCTGAGACTGAGAGTGCTCAGGATCCCGCGAAGACAGCGTGGCCATAAATAACACGCTGCTCCAAGGAAGGCTCCGGCCCCACACGTCCTGCCGAGTCAGCAGTAGCCTCTGTCTGGCAGCATTCCTGACACGAAAATACAAATTTTAGCAATGTGGAGAATATGGCTCTCGGATTAGAGATTAAAGATAATTACTGCTCCTAGCTAAATTGGAATAACACATTTTCCCCACAATCCTGAACATTCCTGTCCTTTGTACACTTAATGGAACAGTAATTGTTGATTTTCTTAGACATATTCTTGGGAAACAAGTGCACAGTTACGATGGCTGGCAGCAATCTGTGTACACACCACTCCAGTCTGGGGACCAGCCAGGGCACACTGGCAGCAGGTTTCCAGTCTCCTTGAGTGTGTAGGAACTGCCCGAGAGCCTGTGAGCTCCCCGTAACCACCGCCAGATCCCGCCGGTTTGGGAGTGGAGAACCCCAACCCAGCGCGTGGGCTTTTTGTCCTGTCCCGTGTTGCCAGCCCTGGACAAGCAGCAAGAGGACTTTGCTTGCCCTCTTTTAAAACCTTCCCTAGGACCCTGGTGGACGGAAGGAAGCCTCTGTCACTCCATCACCATGAAGAACTCGGGCAAGACACAGATGAGCTGCCGTTGGGTGTGAGGCCTGCACCGTTATCTTCGGGAGGAGGCAAAGCTCCGGTCACAGCACGGTGACCTGAACTCCCAGTCCAAGCCCGTGGAAAAGAGCAGACTTGGAATGAGGCCTCGGGTACCTGAAGTCAGCCCAATTCACACTTTGTGGTCTTACAGAAGAATACTTTGACCAAAACAAAACAGTTTTGTCCTCTATGAAGCAGCAAGGGAATCAAGTTAAGGAGAAGAGGCTGTAAGCAGGGTTTTTTTAGCTGTGCCTGCAAATCTGCCTGATTGGCACGTGCTCACAGATAAAGGGGATGTGAAAATGGATGCACTTTTCTGCAAGAAAGCTCTACAAACCCCTGTGGCTTGTCCAGTCAGAGCCGGCATGGGAAGAGCTCACCTGAGTCGGAGTCGTCTGGGCTGACTGAGCTCAACAAGTCTTTCTCTTTCTCATAGTCGCTTTTGCAGAGCAACTGCCCTTCCTTAAGAACAAATTCGTCCCCTTTCCTCAGCTGTCGTTCACAAACGCAGCAGCAGAAGCAGCTTAAGTGGTAAACACACTCCAGGGCTCTCATCACGAACTCTGTTGGGGCGATCTTTTCCATGCAGCCACTGCACTTGGCAGCAAACAGCCTGCAAGAAAGAGAGGCAGTAAAGGCAAAGGGAACGTCACATAGTACACTGTGTGAATTTAAATACAGCAAATTCTTCAATATAACTACAGATCATCTCAGCTCACACTTTCGCATGCTGTGAGACCCGCATCTTAGTCCTGGGAACATCACAGACGTGCAACTTATTCAAACCTCAATCCCTTTGGTCCAGAGATTCTCAAAACACCTTTGCTGGGTAAAAAATACTAAGATTTGTCCTTACCTCACTATTCTGTTCCTCTTCAAAATGAGAAACAAAGAGGAGCTCTCACAGTTTGGATAACTTGCTCAGAACCAAATTTATTTTAATTCACCTTTTAGAGGAACGGCCAATTCATGCTTTGTTTTACAGAGGCTCTCTGGTTTCTCCAGTTAAACCCTGTTCTGAACAGATTTCATGACTTTCCATTTTTGGTATTGTCTGTCTCTGAGAAGGCTGATAAATGAACGCAGCAACAAGCACGAAAACCTGTGCTATTGCCGGGGAGCAGATGACGCTCACACATGCAGTCGCACACATGCAATTGATAAAGAGAGGAGTGAAATAACATGGCTTTTCTTTGGATGTTGAGTTATTCCAGAACAACCTGTCTCTGAAGGCAGTACCGTGCATTTTAAATGGTGTGAAACATCCTTTGGCAGAGATGGGCTGTGATACAATCTGCTAAATTACCACTATAATCACAGGCTCTACAATATACACTGTATTCCAGCCTAGTTCTTATTAAACCTTTATAAACCCTCTCTTTCATCCATCATTAATTTTCTAAGATAAAGTTAGAATGTTGTAGATTAATTTTATTTTGTTTTTCTAAGGGCAACTGGGAGTCTCCTTAAGTGAGCTTTTAGGAAGAGGGCTGCTTCAAATAAAGATGAATAGCTAAGTTACATCCCTGTATCACACAGTGGGCTCGGCGATTTAAAATTCAGTGTCTTTCACAGCAATACATCAAAGCACAAGGTGCGTGAACATTTACAGCTCGGCGCTGAAATTACCCCAACTGCGCCCGTGTCTGCACAGGGGGAAGAAAAGGAGATCCCGCCTTTTGGGATGGGGTGTGCCGATTATGTTTTTCCATCCTCAAAATACAACCTTTTATAAAAGGCGAGGATCTTCAATTTTAGAAGGCACAGGCTGTGGTGGTTCCCGACTCCTCCAAAGCCTCCATTTTGTCTGAGCTGAGAAGAGCAGCGAAATGGCAGTCTCGGGATACTCAGCTCCGCGATGAGCTCGCCAGTGGGCAGGAGGGAAAGGAAAATGGAAATACCGGCGTAAACGCAGGTGGCACCTGAAGAAAGGCCGAGCGCCCAAGAACTTACGGGTTTTCCCCATCTGTATCTTTAGATCTAATGAAACAGACCTGCACCATCAACCGTCCTGGCTCAGTGCGTCCCTTCGCACGCCCACGGCCACGAGGCCCTCAGTCAAGGTGGACCAAGTGACTCTTGTTTTGGGCGCATAACGAATTAAATCTATTAAGGCGGTGCCACGCAGGCCCCATGGGCGTCCCTTCGCACGCCCACGGCCACGAGGCCCTCAGTCAAGGTGGACCAAGTGACTCTTGTTTTGGGCGCATAACGAATTAAATCTATTAAGGCGGTGCCACGCAGGCCCCATGGGCGGCGCTGCGAGTGAAGGGGCAGTCTGATTTCCCACCGTCTGCCTGAGAGCGTTTCCTTCCCCAGGGTTCAGCCAGCAAACGCCTGCGCAGGAAACATTTTTTTTTACTTACGCGTGGTAACGCATCTGAAAGGATTAAAAAGGTGGGGGGAGAGCAAGCGGACTTTAGGCACTTAAAAAAAGTTGTTCCCATAGAACTGCTTAAACCTATTTGACTCAGTTTAATTACGCTGGCAGCTTTTG